GAAGGGGGGAGTGAGGCAGGGAGGGCGGCGAACAATAGGTGGGGGCGCGGGGATTAGGCGCCATTAACGCACTGGCAGACTGCACGGCGGCAGCTCTCCCAACCGGCCGCCCTTGCCAGCACGCTACCGGCCCAGGAGACAAGGCCCTACAGCACATCTACAGCCTGCTGCGATGCAGAGCGCCTCACCCAGCCCCATGCGCACGCGCGCGCCCCTCAGCTCGCCCTGCGCCGTCCCCAGGCCGTCAGGTCAAGCAGCAACCGGCCGTTGCATCAGCAGTCGAGGTCTGTCAGCGGTCCAGATCTGACCCACCCGCTCGTATTCGGTCATGTTGAAGACGTAGAGCTTGGCCATGCAGTCCTGGTAGTACCCGCCCAGCGTCGGCCCTATCAGCGACGGCGCCCTGAACAGCCGCACCCCCAGCCGCCTCGCGGCCGCCTCGTGGCGCAGCTCGGGCGTGAAGTTGTCTGGCAGGATGATGACGATCTCTATCGAGGGGTCCGCCTGCAGGTCCTTGAGGCGCTTGATGTTGACCAGGGCGGAGCACATGTAGTTGATCGCTGCCGCGTAAAAGACGTATGCGCGCCGCTTGGCGCCGCGGCCGCCATTGATGGTCCCGGCGGTGCCATTAGTCTCGGCGGTGCCGTTGGCGGCGACGGGAATGCGGGGACTACTCATGCTGCTGCTGCCGATTTTGTTGCCGCTACTACTGCTTTCGCTGGTACTACTACTGCTGCTGCCGGTCGAAACGCCGCTGCCGCCGCGCGCATCCGCGCCTGCGCCAATGCTTGGTATCCCTGCCAACACGTCGTCCGCTGCGCCGCCGCCGCCGCCGCTGCCGCTGCCGCCGGGGCCTCTCCCAAGTATCACAGGCGCCCCCTTGCCTCTGTTGGGGCGTGAGGCTGCCCCTGGCGGGTGGTCGTTGAGGACATGTACTGTCACAATCAGGCGGCTGCCCAAAACGCCCAGCAGGATGCCGACTGTGAGGTATATGGCCGGGGACGACCACCACGGCGCGACACCCACGACCGACTGCCTCTTGGACTTCTGGAGCGCAGCGGGCGCCATCAGTGCGCACGCGCCGCCGCGCGTAGGGGTGGGCTTCCTGGAAGGGGCGCCGCAGGACGACGACACGTTGGGGCAAGGCTGGGTTGGGCTGGCTGATTGGTGCTTGTCGCTGAGCCAGTGCCGCAGGTGGCAGCTCAGGCATACAGCAGCAGACGCGGCGCCTACAGCGCAGCAATCACCACCATCCCTTGCTCCTGACTGTGCAAAGCAGCACCTGACTGCTGGGTCAGCGGGACGAGTTGAGGGCACCCTCCGATGCTGTTGCACGTCGTTCTGCCCTGGACAGAACGCATCGCTCGCACCTGCTGCTGGCCCGATCTTCACTCGTTTAGTAGCCGCCGGACATGGCCACGCCCATATCCCCAGGCGGCGGGCGCGGTCGCCCACACGGGCGCTGCTGGTGCAGCAGGCAGCAACCAGCAACCGTCTTGCGCGATCGGCAGCGGCAGGCCGAATGATCCCAACTAGTACGCTTGCAATGAAATATCAGCTCCGCAGGCTCGAGGTCACAAGCTCCAGCTCACTCAACGCGGATATCATAAGGAGCGTAGAGTTGATCTCGCGCCGACCGGCCAGGACCGGGTGACAAAGCGCTGAACGTTGTATACTCACGTCGACGACGATGCCTTCTCATCACGGGCTCAAGTGATGCTGGTGCATTGAGCCAGGACCGTGAGTTTCAGTAAGCAGCGACGTGAACACGTGCACGCGGGGACAAATATCTAAAGCAAACTAATATTTTGGTTGTGGAAACACCTACGGCAAGTTGCCGCCGTACCGCAGCCATGCGCTGGATGCGGGACCGGGTCACCCGAAACCATTCTCTGGCCAATGGTACCTCCAGCGTCTCGGTCTGGTCCTAGCATCGCACCGATCCAGCGACTGCTGCAATCAACATGAACAGCCCTCACACGTATACCCACGTAGCAGGTGCCCCGCTTGGCATCATCCCTCCCCCCCACCAGGTGGGTCCCCTGTCGCCGCCCCTTGACTGTATATAGTTCAGGGCCGGATTTCTTGCTGACTACGGCGAGTTAGAGGCTCCGGCTTGGCATAAAGGGCAGCAAATGATCTCATCTTGCCCCTGAGGGCAACAGCGGAGCGCGAGAATGCTTTGTAAGACCGTGTTGTCCGCGGGTGCATGAGCTGCGGTAGGTAGAGTGTCTTTCCTGCTTCTTCCACACCAGTGACACAACCACGGGGTTACAACAATTACATGGAAGCTACATGGGCCGCGCTTGGCGCAAGAAACAACTTTTTAAGCAAAGGATGGGCGGGGGCAGATCAGGCCATGGCACATGGGCCGTCTGGACTGCTGGGCCCACCTGAAACAGCGTGATACGGCAGACCCCCCAGCTCAGCAACAGTGAGTCACCTGCACAGCAATGGCTGCCTCGCTTCCATACTTTGCACTGGCTACACCTGAGGTGACTGCTTTCTGGCAGAGCTTGCAAATCCACCCTGTCCCAGCCCATCTACGTACAGTACAGCGAGCATCAACTCGTAAGCCGTCACCCGTGGTGCTGATGATTGTTACATTGTGCTGCCTCCAGTCTCCGTGCCATCACAGCACCAGCACCAGCAACACAAACCGCCAGTCAACACCACACACTCATTCATCTCACAAGCTCAACACCTGGGAAGTGTGGGTTGGCAAGGTTCGCCTTTGGCCCGGCGGACCTGCGAGCGGCAGCGCGGGAGCCCCAAAACGTCGGGTTCCAGGCATGCAGGCCCACGCGTGGGTCGAATCAGCTCTGAAAAAGCGCAAGCAAGCGCACATGCGGGGTGGCTGATGCTGCAGGCCGTGCACACGCACAACGCCAATTGCACACAGCCACAGTGCTATTGTACGAGCTGCGCCTCATTTAGGGCATCGCATACCTTTTAATGGCAGGATAGTCAGCTAAACGGGCGACAGCGCCACTGTGGCGCAGGCCGCCATGCAAGTGCCGAGGGCGGCGTTGCAGCCCAGGATAACGGCCGGCACCCCAGCGCCAGCGGTGACAGTCCCAAAAGTGGCCCCGCCGGCTGCGTAACAGGCGACCGCCAGAGCATTGCAGCCACTCTGGCACGCGCCGTATCCGAGCAGGCCAAACAGGCCAGCGTGTGCCCCCGTTGGGGCAGTGGCGAGCAGAAACAGGGTGGCGGCGACGAGGGCGGTGAGCTTCATGATGCCCAGTCGTCTGTGAGCTATCTCAAGCGCGGCTGTTTTTTGTTTGAGTTGTGTACAGGGACCGTGGACCTGCGCCATTTCAGTAGTTCCAGTCGCGCACGAACCCGTGATCCGGCCGTTACCCGTGGCTAGCACGGAATGCTAGATACGATACGGACAGGCACACCATCACGTGTTGCCGTGGCATTACGCGAAAACGTATTCACCATCAACGGGTGGCAAGCGACAACCCTGACATCATGACATTGCAGCTGGGACTCAGGGACAGGCTTCGCCACGCAAGAAAATGCGGTTGATTTGGTTGATGAGCGATCCATGACGCTGCTCCTTTCCAGCCCTAGCTTGACAGTCACACGTTGCTACAGGCTGACCATGCCCAGTCTCATGTACATGTTACACGATGATCACTTTGCAAACATGAAACAGGCACAGAGTGAAGCTGGGGCAGCAAAGTGGCGCCCTTTGACGACACGCACATGGCAAACACTGTTGACCGACCGGCGACAAGCACATCTGATGTGAAAACGCGGGCGTTGCGGTTCTATGCCCTTGTCCATTGACTCTCGCCCCCCAGGGCAGGCGTGGGCGCCTGCTTCGGAGGCACATGTCAGCTGCCCCCCCACCACCCAAACCCAGCAGCAACAAGTCATACTGCCCGCAAGCCCCAGGCGGAGGGGGGCCCCCGCGGCGGCACGGCGCGATCTGCAGGTCAACGCCTGCACAGGCAGGCGCGCGCCCTCCATGCCCGCCGCCCCGCCGGGGGCGCCCTCGCTCCGCCGCCCCTCCGCCCACTCCGTGCTTAACAGGGGCGGGGGGACTGAAACCAGCATGCCATTCTAAGCCGACGAGGCCCGGCCGCAGCCTGCCTGCCACCCTTGATTTTTAAGCTGTCGAAGGCCGGCCCACCGCCAAGGCGCCGAAACCCTCGTGTGCCGCCAACGCCTCACTTGGCGAACGCGGCCGCCATGGCGTTGAGCGCGCTGCCAGCCTTGAACCAGGCGATCTGCTCGGCGGAGGAGGCAAGAGGGCGGGCGCGGGGGTTGGCTCCAGCACAACGGCTCAGGACGCACCACAGCCCCAGAGCCTGGCTGCCCTGTGCTGCCCTCATCAGGCCCCAGCGTCTATCGGCGCCCCACGCCGCGCCGAGCGCGGGCTGCCCAGGCTGCGGCCCCCGCCTCATGCGCGCACCTGGTTGGCGTTGAAGGTCTGGTTGACCGGGAAGGAGTACTTGCTGCCGTCGGTGCGGGTGCCCTGGGGTGGTGGTGTTTGGGGTGAAGGGGGGTACAGTCGAAAGGTGAGCAATGCTAGGTGCTATAAGCAGGGGTCGCGCGATGCGGGGGTCGCATCTGTGCCGTCACGCGGCGCTGTCGCAAGTCAAGGCCGTTCATAGCCCGCAAGAAGGGGGCGCTAATCCGGGCCAAGCGCCCGGATCCTGCAATAGAGGGCTCGCGCATTGCGCGCCGCGGCCGCCGCTGAGCGCAGGCCCCAACAGGTGGAGGCGCCCCGCGGGGCATGCGCACCTCGAGCGTGAGGGGCTTGCCGGGCGCGAACGTTGTGAGGCCCTTGATGGCGATACGGTCAGTGGGGGCGATCTTGTCGTAGTCCGCCGGGTCAGCAAAGGTCAGCGGCAGCATGCCCTGGGGGGTGGTGGTGACGGGGATGCGTGAAGCAGAGAGGGGGGGGGGGGTCAGAGAGTGAGGGGCGTGTGTCGGGTGAAGGTGGCTTTGCAGGGGAGGGGGCGTGCCAGCTGGGGCGGTCGCCGCTGACGCCGCGTCGAGCCAGTGCATGGAGGCGCTGCGCGCAGAGGCAACAGGACGCCAGCACACGTGGTATGCTGCCGCAGGCGTCCCCTGTGCTCGTCCAACACATGCAAGCCGACGTCCCAAACACAAGATCCCGTCACCCCAGCCACCTGCCCTACCAAGCGCCCTCTCTTCCCCCCCCCTGCCACCAGCAATCCCCTAGCCTTCCCTCGGCAAGCTCCCCCTCTCCCTCCACGAAGCCCCGCTCCCCCAATACCGCATCCCCTCTCCCCTCAAAGGCCCGCACCTGCTTCTTGAGGTTGGTCTCGTGGATGCGCGCAAAGCTCTTCACAATCACCGCCACGCCGCCAAGGTGGCGCGGCTCCAGAGCGGCGTGCTCGCGGCTGCTGCCCTCGCCTGGGGGGTACGTTTTACAGAGAGAGAATGAGTGTGTGTGTGTGTGTGTGTGTGTGTGTGTGTGTGTGTGTGTGTGGGTGTGTGTGAAGGAGTGAATGCGGCGGCGTGCAGCAAGGCGCGCGAGCGGGGGCGTTCGATGCAAAGCGCCTCCAGCAGCGACGCGAGAGGGGGGTGCCCGCCCCAGGCAACCGCAACGCCAGCCGCCATCATCGTCCCGCAATGACGCGCCCCCAGGCAAACTCTTCCACACACACCCCGCGGGCCATTCCCCCGGCCCCCATCTAAGCGCCCCCCCACACACACAGCCACCCACCGTAGTTCTCGTCCCCCACCACAACCCAGGGTGTGCCGGCGGCCTTGTAGGCGCGCGCGGTGGCGGGCACTGCGTCCTCCTTGCCGGTGTCCACATTGACCACGCTGTTGACCTGGGGGGGGCAGAACAGGCGTTGGTTTTTTGGAGAGGGGAGGGGGGGGGCGTGCAGGTTGCATGGCGGCGGCGCTGGGGTGACCAGCAAGCCCCATAGGCCAGCCGAGGCCTGCGGCGCCGCCTCCCGCCGAGGCGCCGCCGTGGCCGGCCCCCGCGATGGTCACGTCGGCGGCCCCTGCTGGGCGTGGCAACCCCATCGCCCGGTGGCGGCCCCGTGGCCGCCTCCACTCGTTCCGCGCTCCCCGCGCCATCGCCACGAGCGGCGCACAGTCGCCCCACCCCTGCGAAAAAAACATTCAAAGCATTTACACGCATGGCCACGACCATCCCGCCGCCCACGCCACACCGCGCCGCCCCAGCACCCCCTGTCCCCCCC